GCCGAGTGTGGAGAAAGGGCTGGTGCTCCCTGTGGACAGGACCGGCTCGGGCACTGGCCACACAGCCTCACGCCCTCGTGTTATAGCGACACTTGATCTTTCCCAGCAGCCGATTGGCCGGGGGCTGGGTGGCAGGGTGCGTGGGGCGGGTGGGAGGGGGCTGTGCCCGAGGGGGCCCCTTACCAAGTATAGGAGCAGCGGAGGAGGTGAAGACGGGGGACGGGGCTGCGGCAGAGGCGTCAGCTTCTATTTTTACCCCCTCCCCCGACGACGGGCACATTCTTGGTGGCTGAGGATGAAGGAAGGTTTTGGGTGGCCACAGGGACGCGGCAAAGTCTCTCTGTGGGACAGGCTGGTGTGGGGTCCCCAGGGCTGGGTTCTCAAGTCCCCCAGCCCATCTGCCTCCCTGCTGCAGGGCGACCGTGGGGCTTCACTTCGTCCGGGAAGGGGCTTTGCACACGCAGGCTGCGCCGAGCCCACACGCTTCCCTGTCAGAGGAAGTGGCCTGGAGACCTCCGTGGAGTGGACCGAGGCCGCGGCCAGGCCCCCGTCACGTCCGAGCCACGTGTAGTGGCCAGACGTGGTCCTCGGGGTAAACGCCACTGGGGTCCTCAGAGTGCGTGGGCGAGAGGGGTCGGTCCGACCGCGGCGGCTGCTGCCCCGTGGCTGGGGGCCGCCCCTCAGTCAACCCGGAGTGCCCGTTTGGGGGTGCGGACCCTGCAGGCCTCTGTCCCCGGGCCGGGCTCGGCGTGGGCCCACGGAGCCTGGCTCTGCTTCGTCAGGACTCCGGTGGCACCAACAACCGCACGCTGTGCTCGCCCGGGAGGCCAGACACTCCCACGGCCCTGCCCTTCGGATTAGGGAAACCGAGGCCCGAGTGGGTGGGAGCAGCCGACACCGCCGAGACGGTGGGGCCCACGGGGGCTCACGGGGTAGCCCGGCGCGTGGTAACGGCAGGCGGGCTGGTGCCCAGGACAGGGGCAGGTCCCTGGAGACACCCATGAGGCCCCTGCTCCCTGGGGGCCTGGAGCGCAGACTTCAGGATGATGGCTGCCATCAGAGGGATCACACGCCCCGGCCCCGACCCCCCACCAGCTCACGCCTGCTCTGGGTCCTCAGAAGCTTCTAGAAGGCCTTCATTGGCACCCCGTCCAATCCCTACGAGTTGGAGATGAGGCCACAAGGACCCTAGACAAGGACCCTGGACAGGAAGGGACGTGCCCACAGTCACGCGGCCAGGGGAGGCAGACAGAGACCCTCCCCCGCCCGCCTCGTCCGGTGCCTGCCAGGGAAGCGCCAGGGCAGGGGCTGCAGGGGGCCGGTCGCCCCGCCCGGGTCGTGGTGGGGACTGGTGTCAACCCCAGGAGTTTGAATCTGGCTGACCAGGAGGGCAGGGACGCCCCCAGCAGCTTCTGTTTTGGGGGTTCCCGTTGCTGGACAGAGGAGGAGGCAGGGGAGGGAGAGTCAGAACTCCGAATTCCTCCAGGCTGCTGCCTTTCTGTCCACCTGTCCAGGTCCTTGGATGGACAAGGGCTTGGTGGGCCCACTTGCCGCCCGGTGGGCTCCACGTAGGACCCCCACGTGGATGCTGGGGCCGCCCCACCTACCTCCTTCCCTTGGGCAGGGGGCTGACGTCCCTTCTCAGGCAGTGCCTCTCACTCTGCTAACAGGGACCCCCCGCCGTCCACCCCGCCCTAAACACAGATGCACGTGCACACAGGGAGAGCATGTCGGGGGGCAGCAGGCCTCGTCAGCAGGCTGTGCTGGGGCTCGGCCTGGGGAGCCCCATACCCCCAGCCTTGCTCCCAGGAGCTACCCGGCGTCCCCATCCATCCGGCCCTGGGTGCCCTTAGGAGCTGACCGTGCAGTGGCTCTGCTCAGCCAGCAGAGGAGGGTGGCTGCCCGCTCAGTGGCCTTGGCCTCTGGCAGGTGCTCTCCGTGAGTGGGCCGAGCCAGCGAGCAGGCGCTGAGGTCAGCGGGACGGGGCAGGCTTTATTTTGGGTAGCGGTGACCTCCCGCTCAGGGAGCCAGGCCCGCAGGGCAGCAGGACAGCAGGACAGCACCAGCGGGCACTGTCGGACGGGCCGCTGGCCGCTGAGGGCCCGCAGCAGGTAACCTGTGCCCCGTCCGCAGGCCTGGCCAGGCCGGGGCGGGAGGAGAGGGGCAGAGCTGGGGCCATGACTGGGGGCTGCAGGGGCACTGGAGACCTGCGTGGGGCACTGGTCTCCAGCCCAGGAAGAGTTTGAGAACTGACTACGCAGGGCCTCAGCCCGGGGCGGCGAGGGATGGGCTCCCAAAGTGGGCGAGGCTGGCAGAGCTGGGGGCAGCCGTCCTTGGGGGTGACCCCCAGCATGGTTGGGGAGGGCGGGGGTCCCTCGATCTGGGCCTGGCCCGCAGTGTGCGTGCTTGGGGGTGGTAGGGCCCAGGGGAGCTTGAACGTCTTCCGGGAGCCCTGAGCCGACCTGGTGCCTGCCTGGTGCCCACCTGAGCTCCCGCCCGCCCGACCCCGCAGGCTCCGGCTCCGCCAGGGCCCAGGTAGGAGCTGCCAGCCGGTATTTGTCGGCCTGCTCACTGCCGCCCACACGTCCTGGTGAGGTCCCGGGGCCCCGCCTCCTGGTGCCCAGAGCAAGGGTGCAGGGGGCGTCAGGAAGGCCTTCCAGGCAGGAGGACGGAGGGCGGGGCCGGTGCCCCAGAATCTCCGCCCACGCACCCCTTGGGCAGTGGTCCCTCTGAGCCTCTCCACCTCAATGGAGGGCAGGCCCTGGCCCCAGGTCCTGAGTCCCTGCCGCAGTGGGCATCAGCACCACTCAGAGGAGGCAGACCCTGCGTAGTGTCCTCGAGGCCAGGCGAGGTGCCGGGGACCCGCAGAGGGGCCGGGGAGGGTCAGGGCAGCGTTGCCGGCTGTTCCTCTGCTCTGCCCACCCCACTCTCGTCTGTGCGCTCTGGTCCCTGCCCACTCCCCAGGGTGGACTTCGTGGCTGCCTCTGCCTGCTGCCTGCAGCCCACGTCCCATCCAGCTGTGGGAAGGGAGAGACCTCTGTGTCCCTTGGACACGGCCTCAGAGGCGGTCCCGAGTGAGGAAAGGTGGCCACGACTTTCTTGAGTTTTAGCATCTCTGTCACGTTTACTCTGTCCTTTGGGCAGTTGGCAGAATTGGACCATGAAGACTTCAGCAGACAGAGGCTCCTAGCAGAGCCAGGCAGGCCTGGGATGCCAGAGGTCCGGGGGTCAGCTCTGGGGAAGGGGCTCCCCAAACGTCAGGCCCGAGTGTAGGTCCAGGGAGAAGAGGGTGGGCGGGGAGATCGCCTGCACCCCACCTCTCACTCCACGCACTTCCAGCCACCGGCCTCCGCGTTAGCATTTCCCCACTGTCATATGCTGCTTCTCCTCACCCGTCCATTTATGCACCCATCTTTCCACCCACATATTCGTCCACCCATCACACGCTTCACGTGCACCCTGACTCGGGCCGTGTGGCCTCCGCAGCCCGCCAGCCCTGCTCCATGTCAGCAGCGGGCATCTGTCTGACTGCCTGTGCGTGTCTGCTTCTGTTTACTCCACACGACTATTTTCCTGCTCATCTACCTCTCATCCCTCTGTATATCTACCGTTCCATCCATCTACCCATCCATCATCCATCTACCCTTCCCTCCACCCATCCACCCACCCACTTATCTATCCATCATCGACCCATCCATCCATCATCTATCCACACACCCATACAACCACCCACCATCCATCCACCCACCCACCCATCATCCATCCATCCACCCACCCATCATCCATCCATCCATCCATCCATCCATCCATCCATCCATCCATCCATCCATCCATCCATCCATCCATCCATCCATCCATCCATCCATCCATCCATCCATCCATCCATCCATCCATCCATCCATCCATCCATCCATCCATCCATCCATCCATCCATCCATCCATCCATCCATCCATCCATCCATCCATCCATCCATCCATCCATCCATCCATCCATCCATCCATCCATCCATCCATCCATCCATCCATCCATCCATCCATCCATCCATCCATCCATCCATCCATCCATCCATCCATCCATCCATCCATCCATCCATCCATCCATCCATCCATCCATCCATCCATCCATCCATCCATCCATCCATCCATCCATCCATCCATCCATCCATCCATCCATCCATCCATCCATCCATCCATCCATCCATCCATCCATCCATCCATCCATCCATCCATCCATCCATCCATCCATCCATCCATCCATCCATCCATCCATCCATCCATCCATCCATCCATCCATCCATCCATCCATCCATCCATCCATCCATCCATCCATCCATCCATCCATCCATCCATCCATCCATCCATCCATCCATCCATCCATCCATCCATCCATCCATCCATCCATCCATCCATCCATCCATCCATCCATCCATCCATCCATCCATCCATCCATCCATCCATCCATCCATCCATCCATCCATCCATCCATCCATCCATCCATCCATCCATCCATCCATCCATCCATCCATCCATCCATCCATCCATCCATCCATCCATCCATCCATCCATCCATCCATCCATCCATCCATCCATCCATCCATCCATCCATCCATCCATCCATCCATCCATCCATCCATCCATCCATCCATCCATCCATCCATCCATCCATCCATCTATCCATCATCTATCATTCACCCATCTGTCCATCCCTCAAACTGTCACTGTGCACCTCTGGGTGCTGGGGTGGGGGATGACTCCAAGGCAGGTCTTGTCCTCAGGGGGTGCACAGACGAGAGTGTGCCCCGTCTCAGTCAGGGCCAGTCAAGGAAGGAGAAATCACACGCTTCGTGTGTACCCCGACTCATATGACCACACACCTCAGACCTCAGAGTCTACTCCCAGAGGCCATGGGACGGGACAGAGGGCCTGGATCCAGAGGCCGCAGGCTGTGGCCTCCGCAGCCCGCCGGGCCTGCTCCCCTCCACTCTCCCCACAGCGAGCACTGAGGGGCCAGCGCGTGGGGACACAAAGAGCTTTATTGCACGAAATGCAGACGGCTGTAGGCGGGGGTGGGAGGCACGGCGGCTCTCGACTGGGACGCCCCCGGCGGCGCGCTCACTGCACAGGCTGCTCCTTCCTCGCGAGCTCTGGGCCCCGGTGGGCACCGTCTCTCCAGCGAAGCATCAGTGAGGGGCCCCGTCCTTCCCGGGCTGTGACGAGCAGAGCCAGGGGTCAGGGAATGAGAGGGGAGAGAGGTCGGAGGGTCCAGGGACAGAGGCGGCAGCGGTGGCGGGTGTTGGAGGGGCTGATGGGAAGCAGCGTCTTCGGCAAGGCTGTCCCCTGGGAGCCTGGGCTGGGCGTGTGGCAGGTCCACTGGCCTGCACCAGCGGCCGGGGCCTCGGGACAGCTGAAACACAGGTGGGGCGAGCGCCTTAGGCTGCTGTCCCCAGCGGGCAGCCCTGTCCCTCCCAGCCTCCGGCCTCTGTCTGGTGGCCACCCTGGCCCTACCCACACCCCCCTCCCACCACCAGGAGCAGCCGCAAGCTCCGTCCACCTCCGCCTGGGGGGCCTGCTCCCCGTGCTGAGCTCGGATGCCCTGGGCCCTGCTTGGGACTTGAAGCCGAGGGAAAGCTGCCTGTCACCTCTCTGCCTGCTACTCCGGCAGCTCCCCAGAGCTGGACCTGGGGCTCCTAGGGCCCCGAGCCCCCAGGGGTGGACAGCGTGAGCCCTGGAGCAGACCCTCAAGTCCCTCCGCAGGTCAGCCCCTCCTGCCCAGCAGAGCCAGCGGCACCCAGGCCCCCTCTTCCCCCACCCTGGCGGTCTCTACCTCGGCCAGACACTATTTGTCAACGTTCTTGCAAGCACGTGGCGCCCAGAAGCCAGGGCAGGTGGCTTAGCAGGGACCGCCCGGCCAGGAGGTCTGAGGGAAGACCCCACTTAGCATAGCTCAGTGAAATGGCTCCCACCTCCAGGCCAATCTACTTCTGATGATGCGGCCTCAGCCTTCGGGTCTCTGGCCGCCACCCTCACCCCTGGCTGGCAGCGGACGGGCCTGTGGCCGGTCTGAGACGGCACGTCGCCCCCATGCGCTTGCAGCTGGGGGCTCTTCCTGCTCCCGTGGGCACCCAGCCCGGCATGTGCACCCCCGCTCGGAGCTGGCCCGTGGGTCTCCCGGCCCGGTGGTTCACACGGGCAGCGCCTGGAGGCGGGTGCCGGCTCTTGTCCACCACCCACCAGTGACTCAGGCCTCCGTGGGCTCCTCTCCGACCAGGTGACGGCCGAGTCGCCCCACGGAGACAGACGTGCCTGGAACGCACCGGGCAGTGCCCGGTGGGCAGGGCTGTGATGGCCAGGAGTGACGCTCCTGTGGGGCCCTGGGACCCTCGCTGATGCACCGTTCCCCACCCCCAGGGGCAGCGATGGTCCTCTGCATGGCCTCGGCGGCCCCTGAGGCGGCTGGCCCTCGCCCCCAGGGGCCCCCCAGGCCCCCGCCGCCCCTCCTGCCCAAGCCCGGGAAGGACAACGTGCGCCTGCAGAAGCTGCTGCGGAGGATCGGCCGGCGAAGGGTGGCGGCCGGGCCCCCTGCCCCACCCGGGGCCTTTCGCAGCTCCCTGTCCCCCGTGAGCGAGGCCAGCCACGACCAGGACAGCCCGGCCCCGCACCCCGAAACCTTCTGCGTGGAGACTGCCCTGCCCCCCGATACCCCGTGCGCAGAGACCGCCCTGCCCCACGCCCCCCACAGCCCTGTTGCCCACTGCGTGGCACCCCCGCTGCGGCAGTCCACGCTGTCCCTCCACGTCACACGGCACAGTGGCCTGGGCACTGTCGTCACAGCCCCCGCCCCAGAACCCGCCTGGTCCTCCAGTGGCTTTGCCCGAGCCCCGGGCCCTGCAGTGGGGGGCACCCACATCAGCCACATGCAGATCCAGCTGGCGCCATCCCCACCGGCTGAGACCCCTGCGTCCCCCCACATGGCTCCAGGTGGGGGCCCTGGTGGCCAGGACGAAGGCACAGACTCTCCCAGGGCCCAGCCCTCGATCCCGGTGGCCCACATCCGTCCACTTCCCACCGGGGCCCAGGCTGCCAGGCCCAGGCCTGAGGCGGCCCCTGTGCCCAGGCCGCCCCCCAGCTTCCAGGCCTCGGGGCCCAGAGAAGCCAGTGCCCGGGTCGTGGTGCCCATAGCACCCACCTACCGCTCACCGGGACCCTTGCCCGACAGGCCGGCCCCCGCAGCCCCCGAGGCTGAGCGTCCAGAGGAGCCCCCCGTGGCCGGCCCTGCCACTGAGGCCCGACAAGCCTCCAGCCCCCACGGGGCCTCGTCCCACACCCCATCATCAGGCCCCCACCCCTGCCCTGCCCCCCAAGTTGTGCCCGAGCCTCGGCTCAGCGGCTGGACGCGCCTCAAGAAGCAGCTGATGGAGGAGGCCGAGCAGCCCCCACGCCTGGGGCCAGAGGCAGCGGCCCCTGCCGCCCCAGCGCCCCGGCTGCCCGCCTCCCGGGCCTCCAGGCTGTGGGATGCGGTGCTGTACCGCGTGTCAGTGGCCGAGTCCCACAGGAGCCCGGCGGCTCCCGGGGACGGGGCGCAGGGCCCGGCCAGCCTCGGCCGCCTGCCCTTTCTGTGCCGGCCTCGCTTCAACGCCCGGAAGCTGCAGGAGGCGGCTACCCGGCCCCCGCCCGTGATCCCCTCCATCCTGGAGCCGGGCGCCCAGCCCAAGAACTTCAACCGGACGGCGGCCGGCTGGCGCCTCCGGTGAGTGGCCCATGGGGCGGCCCAGGGCCCAGAGGGGTGGTGGGTCCAGCGGGGAGCCACGGCCACTGGACCAGGTCCTGGGAGGGGCTGGCAGGGCGAGGGAGCCTGGGGCTGGCTGGGCGGCCAGGCCGGGCGGTGGGGTGAGGTGTTCTCACGTGTGTGCGTGTGGGGGGGGGGTCTGCGTTGGGCCGCAGTGCGGGGGCTTACGGGGAGAAACGTTCAGTGAGAGGGACAGTGCCCAGCCTACTGAGGGGCAGGCCTCGCACGTAGGGCCCACCTCCGTCTCCAGGGACGCCTGGGATGGCCGGATTCAGCCCCTGGACGCTCTGGGCTGTAGATGCTGAGGCTGGCGGGCAGGCGGCCGGGACTGAGAGAGGCCTCTGGCCGCAGCCCTGGGACCAGGACTTGCAAGGGAATCAGCGTGGGCAGAGGGCTGGCCGCCTGCCCCCCGCGGGACGTGGTGGGTGCTGGGAACAGAGCCTGGGACCCAGGCCCCTAATAAACATGTGTCACACTGCACAGTGGCTACCTTCTGACTTTGCGCCGGGGGGTGGGGGGTGCTGGGAACTGGAGTGACCCGCCCATTGGGACAGGAGGGTGGCACCAAAGTCCGGGCCCCCTTCAGACCAGTGGGTGGGACCTGAGCTCCCAGGACTTCCGCCAGAGCCAACGGGCTGACCCCTGACGCCGCGGCCCCTTTGCAGGGGGGAGGTCGAGCCCCCCACTGGGGATGGCTGAGCAGCCAGGGCTTGGTGACAGCGGGTAAAGCAGGTCTGCAGAGGCTGGGGGACCGAGCGGGGTCTGGCTTCTGGCCAGCGCGGATACTGGGCGTCGGCCCTCACCGGCTCCCTTGCAGCCTCGTCCAGGCCGCCACGGCCCCAGAACGGCCTGTCTCACACGGAGTCATGCTCCGGCCACTGCCCGAGACTCACCAGTGGGGCAGCCTAGGGCGCCGAGCCCTCATCCATGAGCACCTTCTCGTACTTCCCGTGTCCGGTGGCCACAAACTTGTACCTCTTCCCAGACGGGGTGCTCTGATGGGCAGGGGGACCGAGAGCAAAGGTGAGCGCAGCAGGAGGGAGGTGACGCTGCCCCCAGGAGGCCTCCCGGAGGCACCGAGCACGGCGCGCCTCGGCCCTCACCGGATGGGCCCGCCCGCGCTGCACCAGCCACTGTCAGGCTCTACCTTAATTGTCGACGACGTCTTGGAGCCTCCCTTCTGCTCCCAGAGCCTCTTCTTGCTCATGTCTCCTGCCACGATATCCTGGGAACAGAGGGGGGACACGTCACAGGGGCAGAAGCCCTGGGCCCTCCTCTCCTGCCTGCCCCCCCGTACGAGAGCCCGGGGGAGACCAGGGAAAGGGGCCCCGTCTGCCTTCCCCTCGCCGACCAGCCTGCCCTGCACAGCCCGCCAGGCCCGGGGCCAGCCGGCTGAGTCCAGCTCCCCCACGTGCCCTGGGGTCACCCTTCCCCACTCGGCCTGGACGGTCTCACGCCTGCCTCGCCGGGGGGCCCAGCCTTGCCCAGGAGGGGCCGTACCTTGCAGGAGGGGCCCTTGGCAGCGGACTGCGCCTGCACCTCCCCCATCTCCCAGAGGGTCTTGGTGCTCGCCACGGCCATGCTGGGCAGCTCGATGGAGGGCTGGCGAGTGAGCTTGGGGGTCCGGCCAGCAGTCTGCAGGGGAGAGAGCCCAGACTGCTTTACTGGGGAGCCCCGTGGGACCCACGACGTCCTCTGTATTTCCCCCGGGGTGCTTTCCCAATGCAGGGCGGGAGCAAGGCACCCTGAAAAGATGTGCGTTCCCCCCTTCGGTGTGCTCATGAAACACCGTGTGTTCGGTGGGGCACGGGGGGAGAAGGCGCTCCCACAGCTGGGAGGCCGCCCGCACACCGCACGTGGCGCCCGGGGCGATTTTCTAGAATGTCACATAAATATAAGCGGAGGGACGCTGGCTGGGCGGAGGGACAGCGGTTGGGGGGAGGGACGCTGGCTGGATGGAGGGGTGGTGGCTGGGTGGAGCGGTGTTGTTTGGATGGAGGGGTGTCGGTTGGATGGAGGGCAGTTGGATGGAGGGGTGTCAGTTGGATGGAGGGGTGTTGGCTGGGTGGAGGGGTGTTGTTTGGATGGAGGGGTGTCGGTTGGATGGAGGGGTGTCAGCTGGGTGGAGGGGTGTTGGCTGGGTGGAGGGGTGTTGGCCGGGTGGAGGGGTGTTGATTGCATGTCCGAATGGCTGCATGAATGGCGGGGGCCCAGCAGAACGGGGGGCCCTGACGTACCTCGACGGCCTGGGTGTACTGCTCTAGCCGCTCACCGATCTTGGAGACGGGCAGGGCTGGCTGGGACTTCTTCACGCTGTTACTGGAGAGGGCGAAGGGTGACACCTCGTCCCCCGCATGTGGCTGCTGCACCCAGCCTGGCCCCCGCCAGAGCCCTCTGAGCCCCCGATCTCCGCCCTGGCTCCTCTCACCACCCTCTCTGGGGCAGGCAGGGTCCCAGCCGGGACAGCGGCCACACATACCTCCTGTCCACGGAGCGGAACAGGCTCTCGGTCCTGGCGACGACCTGCAGGGCAGGGCGGGGACGTGGCCTCAGCCGAGTACAGCCCTCCCCTGCCCCACGTCAGGGCACCCCTGTCTGGGCACAGCGGGTGGGGGGCGGCAGGGGCCCTCCTTATCCTAGCCCAGCGCGGGGCTCCCTCCCGGCCGGGGAGAGGCGGGGAGCAGGCTTGGGGCTTGACCTACGTTGGCGCTGGGGCTCAGGGGAGGGGAGCCCTGTCCGGTGGTCTCCAAGGCCAAGGGGCTGGGCGTCCTGGGTGGCTGGCATCTCTCATGCTGGGAACAGAACATCTGAGGTCGTGAGACCTAGGCGACCCCCTCCCATACCCCTCCTGCCCCCCGCCGCCCCATCGGGGCAAACACTCCCCGCTCACGCCTCAGGGCCTTCCCAGCCCGGACATACTTCGGGGCTGCAATTCCGCAGAAAGGGTTGGCCACACAGGGTCCCCGAGCCCCACCACTCTCTGAGAATGGGGGTGTTGGCTCCCTCTGGGCCGGGTCCACGAGGCCCCCAGTGCGTGCCGGCCGCAGAGGCAGGCCCCGTGCGGCCCACCATCACCTACCTGCTCCTGGGCTGGCTCTGCCCCAGCCAGCGCCCGGCTGTCCCCAGAGGCCTCCCCTGGGCCTGGCTCCCCCTGGGGCTCCGGGCCCGAGTGCAGTTGCAGCTTTTCCAGGCAGACTGTGTCTGGGCTCAGCTCGGCCCCGTCCTGGTTCCCGCAGGGCCTGTGGGAGGAAGAGGCGCACAGTCCGACCAGGGGTATGTGATCGCGCGATTCAAATGTCCCTGTTTCCAAGCCTCAGACGGTCAGACCCGTTGAGTACAAGGTGTCCCGAGACCCCAGCCTCTTCGGGGAAGTGTGTGCAAGGACCTCAAGAGCCAGATCCAATCCCTGGGGCCCCCAGGGAGCAGTGTCCACTGCCCCGACCCCACTGGGCAGGCCTCTCTCAACGGACAGCCGAGGCTGAGCTGGGCTTGGCCTCCGGGTTCTCTGACAGGCCCCAGCCTTGTGTCCTGCTTGTCCCCGTCCACCCTGCGGCCTAGGCTGGCCGATCCCTGGGGCCAGGGCTGCCCTGCTGTGCGTGTGGCAAGTGGACTCCAGGGAGAAGGCTGTGTGGTGGCAGTGAGATGGGGTCTGGGTGTTTCGGGGGCTGTTCAGCTGGAGGACAGACAGGGGCAGGAGCACAGCTATGAGCATTTCCCCAAGGAGAGGGGCTGACT